TATGATCAATTAATAAAGCTCCCGCCATGTTTTTCTTGTTTTTCTTTTCCTTTAAAGATTATTATTTTTTATTCAACTAAAAGATCTGCACAGAATTTAGCCAATTAGGATTTCTTTTTTATAACGCAGATCATTACAGGGTATTATCCCTGGTTGAATTTAGACAATCAGAAATTCTTCTAGAATTTTTCAACCATTGATCATTACGGTATTTAGTGTGTAATATCCTTGACTGAACTAATCACACAAAACGGTCGTTTATTAATAACACATGCACCAATGGTTTGAAGTATCATGTTGGTGTCAAATCTCGATACTAAAGAATCCGAATTTTTAAAGTACATTGGATACAATTAACAAAAGGCGGATCATCTAATCTCCAGCATTGACATGGGTGATAGCAATAGTTACATAGTCAACTCCGGACAGATTTGAACTCGCCTTTAAACTTTTTTTAGAGGCAATGAATGATTATTCTCATGAATCAAAATCCAAACATATAAAAAAACATTTCCGATAACAAACACCTTGAAATTTAACTTTCCAAAAATTATGTTTTAAAAAAATGTGCACTTGGCTACTCAGCATTCATCATTCTATACAATGCTTTTACTTTCGTGAAACAGCAAAATCCTTTTAATGATTTACAGTCGTTCGATATAAGAAAGAGTTGCCAAAAAACTTCACTATATAGAGTGATTCTATATAAAAATATTGGTAAAATTTTTACAAAAATATTTATTTTTTGCGACACATTACTAAATTCAAAATTTATTTATTATTTAAATACAATTTAAGCGATCAAAAACTTCTTGGCAATATTTGTTATACAAATAAAAAGGTAGATCATGCATGATCCTTACTTTTCTCTCACGAATAATAATTAAAGATGACTGGTAACAAAAATAAACTTGGTTCAAAATATAGTTTAATACTTTACACGTAGTAACCATCTTGTGTGAGTCACATTTGTCATTTTTAAAGATGCCTGACCATATCTTTTACATTTTCGTATTGTTTCTCAATGTTCAAAAAAGCATCTAGAACCATCAAAAATGAAGTAAATAAATTGATTTTTACAAATCAACATTCTGGACAACGCCATGTTTATGGTTATTTTGTTTAGAAGAATCACGCATAAAACAATCAATAAAACTTTAGTTATGATGTTTATTATGTGTGCATTACCTTTCCGCCTTGTAGAAATCCCGTTTTTCATTAATTTTTTAAAAGCATTAAATCTTGGATATCAACCATCTTCAAGAAAAGCGATATAGACGAAAATGGAGATCCACATGCTTATTTTATTTACCCCAATTAGATGATGAATAGATAATAATATATACAAAGAATTTAAGCTCAATTTTTGTTTCTGGTCACAACGCAAGTTTTTATCCACAGTCACACATTCCAAAATTCGACTGAAAATCATGTTTCACAACGTATAAAAACAAAAAAAAAAAAAGAGATTTTCCTGCAGTGTAATGTCTTTGCGCCAATTTTCACGTCAATTTAATTTCTTTATTTGGTTATTCTTTTTATCCACTATTGTTATTATTATTTTTGATTTTTCCGATTAATTCTTCTTTTTACTGATGGGCCAAGACTTTTTTAATGATTATTTGTATATTTGTTTTTGTTAATCATTTTTATTAATTAATCTACTTTTAGTTTAAATTTATTGATTGGTGGTATTATCCCCATCTGTATTCATCAGTCTTCTCGTTATTATAAGCAGTTTTCTTTCTGCTGCCTTTTTCCTCTCCTGTTGTGTTGTCATTACGATCCTTTTAATGCGGTAGTCGGTATGCTTCTTCAAATTACGTATCATCTCGCACATTTCCATGGTTGTTCAGTATGAAGAGGCCTGTTAATTAGGCAATTTATTAAGTTTTTATAATGCCACTCGCCAATTTACATGGCCCTTCGAATCTCCGTGAGTCAAGTCTTTTTATTATTACGCGAAGCTTCCGAGATTCTCGCGAGTAATTAAGTGAAAAGAAGTTAACTGTCATCATGTCGGTTTTAAATTTAATTTCAAGCGAGATCGTGTTTGAGCTTCACAGAATGCAAATGATAGATAAATCCAAATTACTATAATATGACAAAAAATTCTTGAATTATTAATTGAATATTAGATGGTAACGTATGTACCATGTCACAATGATAAAGAACAATATTAAGATAAAATCGAATTAAAGATTTATTATTGCATGTGTGCATGTATAAAATAAATTCTAGACTTGTATTCAAGTATAGCGGACGGATAGGTCTGCTTATACAAGAATAGTCGTACAACATGGTATTTGGATGCTTATTTTTTTTTGTTGCCTTACATTTTTTGTCTATTTCAATTCTGTTTACTTTAATTGGAACCGGGCGGAAGAAAGGTAATTAGCCTATCAATAATATTTATAGTTTTCTCTTATGATTCCTTTTGAACATAATCTGTTTAAGTATCTATTACAACCAGCGTGTGAAATTCGGCATAATGCAAATTTGGTTTGTGCATGTCTCTCTTATTAAAATCAAATTTTTGTGTCATTATTATCTATTTTGCTGATTTTTTATATTGCACTATCTCCCAACTGAATTCCATACACCGATTACAACTATAGTTCTTAGAGCTATCCTCTAAGTACAGTAAAAGTTTTTCAGTGATTAATCTACTTGCAAATTTGATTATTTCAATTAATTCAATAATTTATTTATGTGGTTTATTAAAATGTTTATTCCCAATTAATAAGTGCGAAACAAATTTATTATTTATCATATATAAAAATTGTTAAGGATTTAAAATATAGTTTTGCGAACATATTGTGCACAATGAATGTAACGTGGCGTTTGATTTATTATATATGAATATTAACATTTTTAATATGGGTTATAATTATTGTTGGAATTATCTTGTCAACGATACTATCATTAATATTAACAATTAAAAAGATTGTTTGGTTCTTTTTTCGTGTAACAACAATTTTTTTATCAAATTTATTTATTTATTTTTATCATTTGATCGCGTAATATTAAGTTATATATAAAAAGATCCCCAATAACTAAATTGGAACGGGTATAACTACACAAGTCGATTGATAGAAGATAATCTATATTTACTAATATATCCCATCGATAAATGAATATAATCATTACCCAGGCTTCTTTGAAAAGACGAAAATGAGGTCCCAGAATTTACCAATCATTATATAAATAGCTGTGTAAAAACCCTTTCCAACATCATCTTTTGTTAAAAAGAATATTTTCTTGAACATAAACCAAAAACTAAAAATGACTTCAATTGTAAATAAATTTTTCTCGTTAGTGTAATTATTGTAACAATTATTACCACCGATGATTATTAATTTTATGTCTTTTTAAATATCAGGCACCTCAACAAGTCGGATCTTTGGAAAGTTCAAATAACGATGGATATTATATTTCGCACCAAAACTACCTTGGGCTCATCCGTCAAGTAGATCCATCTCTTGTCCCTGATTTCATATTTACGATAGTTCCCGGTTTGAGTGGCTCAGGTATCAGCTTTCAAAGCACAAACTATCCAGGTCAATATTTAAGACATCAAGATTATCGTATCAAGCTTTCCGGAGGCGATGGCTCAGATTTATTCAAGCAAGATGCCTCTTTCGTCGTTGTCCCAGGTATTATTACGTTATTCTTTTGTTGATATTATGTGTTAATCAAATTCAAATATCTCTTGACCAATCAAACATTACGAAAAACATTTAGGTGATAATGGTGGTATTCGCTTCCAGAGTGTCAACTATCCAAATTACTTTATTAGACATCGGGCTAATAATGAATTATGGATTGACCCTAAATCAACCGATGATCGCTATAAAAAAGATAGTACCTTCAAGTATCACGAATTTTTTCAATTGTAAATTCATAAAATTGTAAATTCATAAATTTGTTTTTTTTTATATATATATATACAAGTTCTTTAAAACCTTGCATACTTTGCTTAGCGTAAACACAACAAATTTATGATAATAAAATTTTGATAATCAAAGTCTATTCATTTGATAAATATTACTTTTATTAATATCCAGTCCATAGTATTTCTATTAATTTGGTATCTATTAATACCGACCTATGATTTTCACGTCCCGAAGGGAACATAAAAAAATCTCATTACCCTAGGTATATCTATCATACAACCGATTTATCTCAGCGTGCCGTAATATCAATGGTGATACATATTTTCACTTATCTTGATGTTTTTTCTGACTTCGATTATATATGCAAGGAGGCACTATTAAAGCATATTCACTTACCTTGGCCCTAGTAAAATTTTAACTAGGGACGAATGTGTCTCATCAAAGTATACTAACGCATAATATTTATTATCCAGTATGCGGTTAAAATGGATTTGGACGTGTCCCAGAAAAAATCCCGTTCTGGTTTCGTCCTAGTAAAAAGAGGTTGACCGGAACGGATTGTATTATAGAAGAAAGTAAAATAGGTTTATATTATTTAATGCTGTATTGACTTGTTCTTTTATACTTGTCATATATCCGTCCTAATTGTCCTATTAAAAACTAAAAGTCTAGGGAAAAAATGAAACTCATTCCCATCTATATGCTATATACATTCCCTCCTGGTCAAAAACATAGACACTTGCTGATCATCAAAAATAATTAATTGTGTGACGTGAAAAAATATAAAGTAAAAATATCAAATAGTATAATATACTGACTGAGGTTTCACCCCATATAAATAACAACTCAAAAAATAAAAAAGAATTTTTTAAAAATCTTCGCCTTTGAATATCGACCACAATAGCAAGTTCTAACAACATTGTGGTACAAGTAAAAAA